GGGGAATCTATTATGGCTTATTGTACTAGATTGTTGTTGGTATGCTCTCTGGCTGGAATTGAGGAGAAACAGGTGACCGATTTAATATCTTGGATGGATTTAGATCAAGTAGAAAGGGTAGCAAGTGGAACAAGTATTTCTCCAAGGAGAATGGGTGGTGAGGCTTCCTACAGTAATCAAGCAAGCTAAAACGTCTCCAACCAGACTGCCATGGGACGTGGTAGTTGCAATGAAATAGGACAAGGCAGAGAACGGTCTGGTAGGAGACACAGAGTGTCTAGTGAGAGATCATTGCGAGCACAGGTATGGGCAATACTTCAGGAAAGGGGTGCAGAAATGCCTCATTTGGGTAGAAAACCTCTGGAGACTGTGTTAGCTGCTTTAAGTGATATGATGGCAAGGGCTAGATCATAGTCAATGCTGCAACCAGGAGCTAAGGCCGTTGAGACCGTGGAAAGAGGTTTAGGAAACCCTTTGGCTTGTTATTCCAGGAAATGGCTCAGATAGATGTGGTGACTTCCCATCAGGGTGGCTCTACATTTCAGTACAAATGCCTTAGCAACCCCTGCCCCCAAAATGGGTTGTTAGTGGCCAGATTACAGCCCCGTGTAACAGAGAGATTCTACATGGAAACGGGGACAGAAGGAAACATACAGTGGTTGCTAGCATTAATTGACACAGGAGCAGAGACAACTTCAGTTAAGTCAGTGCAGGAGGATGTCTTCATTATTCTGGAAGCATGAGACAGAGTTCCATTCGAGTCAGTGGGGCTTCTCACATGAGTAAGGACTGCAGGATCAGTTCCTATGTATGTAGCATATCATATTTACAGATGAGCAATTTGAGATATGCCCCGATTTATGCAGCAAATGAGTAGCATAGCCAAGAATAAAGCCAACGGTTTCTGACTGAAGCCCGTAGTGATTTTTCCAGCCAGTACTTACGCTTGGCACCCAGGATTCTTGCTGTTATCAGCAAAAGCAGGCACAATGAGAGGACGCCGAGCACGACTGCCATTGGCAACCAGGAGGACGATGGAATGGGAGAATCTAGCACAGAGAGAGTGACATGAACACAAAGAAGATGAGCAGAGAGAGGCCTGAGAAACGAAAGTCACATTGGAGTTTATTTGGGTGGCACCAAACTCTAAAAGACCGAGACCAACCACCCAGCTGGGAAAAAAATGTTCCAACTTAACTTCCATTGACTGGAAGCTGGATGGAGCTGATCCTCAACGGGTGAAAGTGGAGTGCAAACGGGTGGTGGTTTCAGCGCCATTTACTGCAATGAAGCGCTGCCTCTTTGCATGAGCTTGTGTCCTAGATATATTTCTCCATACTCCCGTATTTGTTACATGGAGTACCTTTGCTTCCAGCATTCTCGGGCTTTTGTCTCTGATGTTCAGAAGAGGATTGAAATTTCGGGTCCTCCTGCTCACCCATTTCAGGTGGGGCAATAGGGATAGACGTTTTAGACTCAGCTTCAGTGGTTGGATGAGCGTTGATGAAATGCAGGCGGGTCTATAAAATAGATCATAAAGGCAGGTGCAGAAGCTTTCGGTGAAAGGATTTAAACAATACAATGATTTGTAGTATCTGGATAGACTGAGATGAACAAAATTCATGGAATAGACATACGAACATAAAAAATGGCCATACTAGGTCACACCAATGATCCACCTAGCCCAGTATCCTGTCTTCCAACAGTGGCCGGTGCCAGATGCTTCAGAGGAAATGAACATAACAGAGCAATTATTGACATCCCTGCTGTCCAGCCCCAGCTTCTGGCAGTCAGAGGTTTAGGGACACCCAGAGACAGGGATGCAACCCTGACCATCTTGGCTAATAGCCATTGATGGACATATATTTCATGAACTTCTCTAATACTTCTTTGAACCCAGTTATTCTTTTGGCCTTCACAACATCCCTGGCAACATGTTCCACACGTTGACTGTGCATTGTGTGAAGAAATATTTTCTTTTGTTTGCTTTCAACCTGCTGCCCATTAATTTCATCGGGTGACCCTTGGGTCTTGTGTTATGTGAAAAGGTAAATAACACTTCCTGAGTCACTTTCCCCACATCATTCATGATTTTATAGACCTCTAGCATATCCCCCCAGAGTCATCTCTTTTCCGAACAGCCCCACAGTCTTTTCAATTTCTCCTCATATGGAAGCTATTTCATACCCATGATCATATTTGTTGCCCATTTCTGCACCTTTTCCTATTCTAATATGCCTTTTTCGAGATGGGGCGACCAGAACGGCACACAATATTCACGCTGTATGCCTACTATGGATTTATATAGAGGCATTATGATATTTTCTGTCATATTATCGATCCCTTTCCCAATGGTTCCTAACATTATGTTCGCTTTTTTGACTGCCGCTGCACACTGAGCAGATGGTTCCAGAGAACTATCTATGATGATTGTAGGAATAGTGAGCTCATTAATGGGAAAGAATTTCTAATTTCCACTACCCTTTCCCCGCTCTCATTGTGTGTGTAGATTCTGTGTCTTTAAGCCCAAAGTTTTACTCTGTAAAATGCTCTCCATACTCAAGGAAAGTTAGGGAATATTGCTTCCAGCTGCCAATGCCTCCTGTCCACCCTACAACAAAAGCCAAACCTGCCCATGCATGGTTCAGTGATAATGGGCCAAGCCACCTCCTGCCCAGAAGTAAAAATCTTCCTGTTAGCCCATGACAAGTCTTGCCTCATCTCCAAAATTCTACCAAAATTCTCTGGGTTTTCTTATTGAAATATTCAGTCACCTGAAATACGATAGGTCAGTCCCAGCTATAGCAAACACCCATTATCAAACTATAATCCATGACAGCGCCTGGGAGGGATACCCGAGTGTGCGTCCGGAGGTCTGTGAGCTGAGGCCGATGTTCCGGAATAGGGCTCTGAGTGGAGTATCAGCCCCGCTGCACTTTATGAATCCCGATGGGCGTGGCAGGAGGGCGGGGCCAGGCTCTGATCCTCCTCCCACATCTGCTTTACACTGGAGTAATTCCCTTGTCTCACTCCTGATTTACCCTGGTGTAAGTGAGGTCAGAATCAGGCTCTAGCAATGCGTGTCTTCCAGTTGGACTGTCTGGATCTCAAGGGCCCAGCAGAGAGAGGAAGGATGATTTGCTCATTACTGTTTCAGCAGAAACCGCACAGGAAGAGCTCTCTCGCTGCTAATTTGAGATGTGAAGCTTCTACACACAATGTTTACCTTGATGAGCTAAAGACAGCAACACCGAGGGGGACGCCTGAGGGGATAACTTCACAGACCAGCGGAGGCTCTTAAAGTGCTGAAATTATTAAACTAGAGCGTATTAGAAATAGATGCTCAGCAGTTGACAAGGCTTGTTGGAATAATACAGGCCAACAGTTGCAAAGCAGGGTGGCTAACGACAGGCTTCTGGGGCCGGCTTCAAACCTCACTGAAGTCAGTGGAACGACTGCCATCGACTTCAGTGGCCTTTGGATCAAACCTATCAAGCCATATTGCAGGATCTAGTCTGCAAGCTTCAAAGGCGCCTAGGGGAGTTTGATGCTAAACTTCCCCTGACTTTCAATGAGATTGGAGTGTCTTATTCCCTGAGGCCCCTTTGAAAATTCCAGACCTAACCAGTGACTTGATTTCTAGACGTGCTCAGCACCAGCTGCTCCCCTGCTGTCCGTGCAAGTTTTGGTGCTCAGCACCCATGAAAACCAGGCCACTGTTATTGAGGTGCTACTTTTACACACCCGTATTTCAAAAATACCTGCTCTAGAGCATTGTCTTTGTGCTCTCAGGCCCTCTTCTTTCCCTTAGGGGGGACTCCACCTGGAATGGAGCACACTCCCGCACTGTCTGGGCTGGAAGGAGATTGGGGAAGGTTTTGTCCCCCCATCCTTGACATTTTCTTTTTTTGCCTTCTATGCCACACTCAGCCTTGCAAGGCCTAACTAATACAGGATCTACATCTCATTTTCAAAAGTGATTTAGGCACTTGGGAACAAAATCCCATTGAAAGTCAATAGGTTTTAAGCTTCTAACAGCCGAAAGCACTTTTGAAAATGAGAGGTGGGCTCCTAAATTAGATAGACGTTGCAAGGCTGAGCATAGCTACGCCTGAATGCCTTTAATCTGGGCCTTAGGGAGCAGGCAACGCAGTCTGAGAATGAAGGGTGGAAACTGAGAAGAGAAACAGCATCGGACCTGGACCAAGGTTCTTCATCAGCACATCCAGGGATCTTCACCCCAATATGTCCCACCCAGCACTCAGCAGCAACGTGCCCCGGCTGATGGAGGAATTGCATAACAAGGATATTTTTATGTGCCCCAACTCCAGGGGTTATGGTAATTGCTGACAGCTCTGCAAAGTGCAATGCCCAGCATCCTAAGGAATGCACAGCACCACAAAGGTCAGGTGCCGTCTCTGGAAAGTACAAATCCATGATACATAACCAGCAACGCATTTTAAAAATATATGTCCCAAATAGGTTACATTAATTGATCTCTTTAGAGTATTGACTCCCCACCCCCAACCTGATCAACTACATACACACACACACACACACACACACACACACACACACACACAGTTCTGAAACTTTTCAGCAATTGCTCATGGTGAAGGATTCGGGGATGTTTGGTGTGAGATTTAATTTAATAGCAATTATAAGAACGGCCGTACTGGGTCAGACCAAAGGTCCATCTAGCCCAGTATCCTGTCTACCAACAGTGGCTAGTGCCAGGTGCCCCAGAGGGAGTGAACCGAACAGGTAATGATCAAGTGATCTCTCTCCTGCCATCCATCTCCACCCTCTGACAAACAGAGGTTAGGGACACCATTCCTTACCCATCCTGGCTAAGAGCCATTAATGGACTTAACCTCCATGAATTTATCCAGTTCTCTTTTAAACGCTGTTATAGTCCTAGCCTTCACAATCTCCTCAGGCAAGGAGTTCCACAAGTTGACTGTACGCTGTGAAGAAGAACTTCCTTTTGTTTGTTTTAAACCTTTATTTGTTTTTGTATTCAACTCGTGTTTCAGATATACGATTTGGAGTCTGCCTAGGGACATGGTGGCACTTGAAACTCTGGAAATTAGACAGGATCAGACACTATAGTGATATACAATAGGGGGCAATAGAGCATTGGCAGGGAGCTGCATTAGGAGAGTCCATACGTCTTTCCATCGCTCATGTCTATGATTGTGTAGCACATACATATGTCTGTATACGCCATAGGCTCTGGAGAATAACAGTTTACCTTAGTGCTTCTCAACGTTGCATGAATACCCCCCATACAGCCAAGAAAAAAACATTAGGTGAGATGAGGGGAGCAGATTTATCCAACCACTACAGACGCCAGCAGATGAAGTCAGGCTGTAGGGGAAAGCGATTGTAGTCCACTCTCACACGTGCAACATAAGCGAGCAGATAGAGGAAATTACCAAGACAGGAAATGAGATCTTTCCATCTCTGTTTGGTTTAGCAGACTGTCCAGGCCCGTTCCTGATGAGGGAGTTCAAGTTCTTGTCAAATCCTTCATCTTCTCGCAAAGGCAGGATCGAGTTTCTCCGCAGGCTCCAGCTTTGAAAGTCCCACCTTGGATATAGGCACAAGCTCCGCCCCGATAATGCTGGCTATCAGCTTCTGGGATTTCAAGCCTGCAGTGCAAAAATGAACCATTTACACTTCATCTTAATAACCCCGGAGTCCCCTGCCTCAGGTCGCAATGCCTAGACTCTGTGTTTGTCCTGAGGACAGTAGACGATGCTGAACCAATGTGCTACCCTATTTGTCTGAGGAGACTCTGTGAGCACAGGATCACTAAGACCTCATGGCCCTCAAGTGTTCTTTACTCCCCCTCCCATTGTGCTATATCGTGGCCAGAGATGGCTCCAGTCTGGTGCTGGGAGAGTGAAATACACACACGCCGCCACGGTCAGTCACAGAAGTAGAAATGGTATCCCTGGGATAAATTCATATCTCACATGGCTCTCCAATTTTTCATGCACCTGAGATCAAATCACCTGCCCTCCGCCTGCTAACCCAGCTCACTGGGACTTGATCTAACGCTGAAAACCCTGGAGCAGTGTCAAACAGCTGACTTGGCTTTTGTGACATTTACACTGACATGGGTAGGTAGAGAAAAGTGATTTTCATACACTTAGGAGGTTTTTACGGTTCTGCCTGAGCCCTGTAGTGTTGGACTCATGGCGTAACGAAGTCACCAGGCTCTCCAGGTGGAGGGATACAAAAAGGAGTCCCAATAAATTTTTTTTTTACAATAACTCATTGTTGCTGTAAGATGAGGCCTGTATAGAAACATGGCAGGGTTGCGTTGCCCTTGACTGACCCCAGCGAGTTCAGCAGCTCGTCCCTCAGAGGTTGCTGAATAACCAGCTCGTCCTTCTCCTTTGTCATGCCCAGCCAACAAGCCCACATTGGACCAGTGTGTCTGGCTACAGCCCATGGCAGGGGGAAGTAGCAAATGCCTTTCTCCCCCCCCCCCCAGCCTTCTTGGCCTTCTGGGCTGAATTTGTGCCACTGGGGCCCAGCACCACCTACAATCAGGCTCCCAAGTTGAGGGCACCTGGGGGTGTTTCAGGATGAAAGGCATCACAAAGGAGCTAGAATTGCTCAGAGAACAGCACTGTGGGAGCTGGGGAGACCAGGAAGTTCCCAGTTGAGGCCAGTGCTGTGGGTTACTGTCTCCACTTAAATAAACGCATGTACCGCAGGCTGTCCGAGGCTCACAGTGGAGAATCAAACACAGGACTCCGTGCCGCGCTTTGGTCCATAGCCGAGGATGTGCTAGTGACACAGACTTACAGGCCAGAGGAGAGAGCTGTGCTGTCCACCCAGACCCACTTCCTGGTGCGGGAATCATACGATGCTCCAATCCAGAAAGGGAAATAATATTTAAAGTTTTGACGTATATCAAAATAAAGATATGATTCTTGTTTTATGAAATTCTGCAGAAGAATAAAATAAAGTGTTAAAACCTCAAATTCCATCACATGGGTATAAGTGGAAAGGGCTGGACAGGGTAGAAGTTCGGGAACTCCCAGCACACGGTATCACCATAGGTCTTCTTAGATGTATCACTACAGCTAAGGTTGAGTTCCCACTTCTATTACAGTAACTGGCTGTTTCAGTGACCGATAACTTTCTCAAACCAAATCCTTTTGGGCTGAAATTGTCCAGCCTGAATCTCAGGCCAAAGCTGAATGTTTATAGCAAAGTATCAGAGGGGTAGCCGTGTTAGTCTGAATCTGTAAAAAGCAACAGAGGGTCCTGTGGCACCTTTAAGACTAACAGAAGTACTGGGAGCATAAGCTTTCGTGGGTAAGAACCTCACCTCTTCAGACTTGCATCTGAAGAAGTGAGGT